TTCCCTACAGTTCAGTGCTTTACATTAACAGAGATAGCTATGAGAAATGAAGTTGATGAGTGCATAAAAGCTTAATGAAGAATGTTTATTCCATGGAATTTCTGTGTGCCCAGCTTTTGTAAGGGTGTAAATGGAGACTGATGGAAGGATAGGCTTTTGGACTTAAGCTGTACTTCTAGATCATGGAAAGCTTCTTTGTTCAGATTTCTGTAATCTGTGGTATTGCTCTGAGTGTTACCTCTGTAGTCTGTGAGGAGCAGGGAACTGAATTACAGTGAGGAGATCTGCTCATGCTGGAACTCTGCAGGACCAGGTCATACAGGAGGCAGTTGCTGTGTGATTCTTTTTTCCCCTTAGGGAATGTCTTTGCTCACAAATATACTGAAAATGCCTTTTCTCTGAATTGTACATGCTGTCACCTGTCTGGTCACACAGTCACTAGGGAAGAGGGAGAATGGGCAGCTTGCTGTCAGGGACTGGAGTGCAACTTGCAGGGAAAGGTGCTGAAAGCTCCATCTTGTGCTGGGCTGGGACAGGAGTTTCTGTTGCTCTCCCTTTGGTACATAAGCACTTGATCTCTGTGTTTGTGTGGTGTCAGCAGGATCCTAGGGGCAGAGTTTGGAGTGTTTACCATCGTTTAACAGTAAGTTCAGCCTTTCAGTTGAATTCAGCTAACAGTACATTCAAAATACAAGCACCATGACATTTAGCCATCCTCATCCAGCCTGTAATGGTAGAGACATACTCTGATGTTTTCTGGCAGAATACTGACTACCAAGACTAATAAAGCATTAAGGATTTAGAAGATAGATCTTCAAGAGACAGTACTGCTTACAAAAGGCCTATGTGCTTTTGTCCCCTTTAAAATAGGAGAACTGTGTCTATGAAACTGTAGTTTTACCTCTGGATGAAAGAGCATTTGAAAAAACTTTGACACCAATCATACAGGAGTATTTTGAACACGGAGATACTAATGAAGTTTCGGTATGTGCAATGCCTTTTTGTTTCTTTATCCAGCTGCTAACTTGCTTTACTCCAACTGCTGGCTGTAAATGAGCGTATAGAGATGTTGGCAAGAAATGTGCAATAAGAACACCTAAGCAGTTACATTAATTGCATGAGCAGAAGCATATATGTAAATATATAAATGTAAGCATGTAAATGTATATTATAAGTTTATATGATATATTAATCAGCTTTGTTTTTCAAATCTTATGTAGGAGATGCTGAAGGATTTGAATCTTGGTGAGATGAAATACAGTGTGCCAGTGCTGGCTGTGTCCCTGGCATTAGAGGGGAAGGCTAGTCACAGGGAAATGACATCCAAGCTTATCTCCGACCTTTGTGGGACAGTAGTAAGCAAAACTGATGTGGAAAAGTCGTTTGATAGATTGCTTAAAGAACTACCTGAATTGGTGTTGGATTCTCCCAGGGCACCACAGGTACATTTGTGAAGTTTTATGCTTGTAGTCAAAAGCTTTTTCTTCAAAAATGTGGCTAAGATTAATCCAGTGAGCTGAAACAGACTCTAATTTGAATAATACCTATGGATTTTCTTACTGTTTATAATCTCTTGCTAATTTCTCAGGCTGAGCTTTTACTTTGAGATGGTTTATTTAAATAAAATCTGAAACCCAAGCATGGTATAATTGTCTGCTTAGAACTACTTTGAAATTCAACAGTCAATTAAAACTGCTTCTGTTGTGTTGCAGTTGGTGGGCCAGTTTATTGCTAGAGCTGTTGGAGATGGGATTCTAAGCAGTACCTACATAGATGGCTACAAAGGCACTGTGGATTGCGTCCAAGCTCGGTAACTTTCTTGCTTTCTATATAGCTACAGTTTTCTATTCCAAATACCAAAGATGATGATCGGGAATTTAGGACTTCAGGATAAATCATATCACTCTCTGTAACTTCTTATTTTTAAACTTAAAAAAACCCCACAAAGGCTGCAACAAGAACACCACCAAAATCTAGAGTGACTTGGGTCAGAGGAGAAATACTTAAAGTGCCCCAAAAATGTATGAATACATTTGAGTTCAGTTTGTCAGCCTTGTTGTCCAGCTCATGGCTGAGGGTGGAAAAAAAAAAAAAAAAGAGCTGAAAAAAGAAGTGATTATAGAAGGTTTTGTCTTTAGAAAAAGCTTTAATGTGATTAATGAGTAAATATAGCATCAGGACAGCTGCTGTAGATATGTCGTGAAATACACAAGGGATTAACTGTTTTGCCTTATAAAGGTTTGAAGCTCATGCAGTGCTTTCCCAGACATTCTCTGTAATGCTTTATTTATTCATCAAGAAGTGTAATTGTTTTCCATGTCAGGGTGAGAAGCTGAGGGAGCAGTCTCTGACAAAAAGGGACATTTTAATAACTAGTCATGGTTTATTATTTTCGCCCCATAAATGTATGTTTCAGGCTTGATACAGAGTTGCTGAACTCTCGTAGCTTCTGGAAGTTCCATTTGTAATGATCATAGTTGGGTACTTCTGGAAGGAGGGGAAATGCTTAGGTGCCTAACTTGAGGGTTCAAGGGGTGGAAATTGCCACTTCTACAAGTGGCTTCTGCGCTTTGAAGGACTGTAGCCTGAAGACTGCCCACCTTTGGGATGCTTTGCTGTCTTTGCTATTTCTTGGCCAGTCTTTTCTGCTCATTAAATCTTGAACAGTGTTACTGTGATTGGCCAGCTCCCAGTATAAGAATTGGGATAACTATTCTTTCATTAGCTGGATAGTGCTTAACTGGATCTGAAGCTTCCTTTTCTCACCTTTTTCATTCTTTCCTTAACGAACTGGCAAGCTTCCCTAGTTCATGCCATCTCTTTGCAACTGCATATTTGCCTTCTGAAGTACTGTTTTGGCTTAAATTGTCAAGGTTTCATAATTCTTTAGACCCAAACAGAAAACAGTATTTCAGTAGAAAAGCATCTCATACCTCTTTTGAGATACACATGCCAAGCTGCCTTCTTGAAGGAGCCTGGATACAATCCATCTCTGAATAAGAACATACTAAATTCTTGTGAGGATGGTTCAGGTTCTGCATTGATGATTCAGATCTGTTGCCACCACAGGATTGTTTCCTGCCCTTAGCATGGTATAACCAAAAGTGTAAAGATGGCAGAATGTGTGGAGCTGGCTTGCTGGCTGCTTGATCCACACGTTCCTGTGGAGTTGCTAACCCTGACCCCTTCCCAGGGATCTGGTCACTTTGCCCAAAGAGGAATGGCAGTGGGGGAAGTTACAGATGCCTTTTAATGAAGTTCTGCAGTAATTTTTTCAATCTAACTTTGCTTTCTAGAGCTGCACTGGACCGAGCTACTGTGTTGCTGAGCATGACCAAGGGTGGAAAGCGTATAGACAGCGTGTGGGGGTCAGGAGGTGGGCAGCAGTCTGTGAAACACCTGGTTAAAGAGGTAACTGCTTCTACAGAACTCTTCTTTCCAGAGTTTACTGTCTGTCTGAGCTGCTCTTGTTTGGGATGAAGACATGAAGCATATCCTGTAGCAAAATGATATCTTAAGTGTTGGCGTTGTTTTGTGTTTTTAAAGCGTTATAATTTATTTATACAAAGTAGTTTTTAAAACCTGATGTAGACCATTAAGTTGATTTTTGTAGTGTTCCTCAGTGGTGGGAACATGCTAGCACAATTGCAAGTATACATTTATTTTTGCTTTAAGCAAAACTTTAAAGCACTTAGCTTTTTAAGAGCTTACAATATAAAATGGTGAAATAATTAGAAGAGCCAGGATGAAACTGGCTAAACTTGATAAACTATTATTATTATTTGGCATCACTGATTAAAAGCACAGTAATAACTGAAAAAGAGAGAGGAAGAAATGGGAATGTTTAGAGATCCATGCTATGAAGGAGGCAGGTTTAAAGGAAAAGGTGGTGTTACAGTTTCTAGGTTGTGAGTGTAACACATGATGGGAGGAGGAGTTCAGGGAAGAAGATAAACTTAATTGTTCTCATATTAACCTTTTATGGTGATAGGCATCTTATAAAGCAATGTTTCTGGTGCTTGTATGTCTGTATTAACACTATGGGTAGGCATTTCACTTACACTGTGTTTCAGGTTGCTGATAATATCTCAATTTAGTTAACATCTGAATTTAATTACACTTGTAAAAACACTAGCAGCAAGTTTCAGGCACTGACCTGCTGCTGGGCTGGTTGCAGAGTATCAGAACAGTTGACAGCTTTTACATTTTATATCTAATCTAATTAGTTTTGCGCATTGTTTGTTTTAAAATCCAATAGATTGATATGTTGCTGAAAGAGTATCTGCTTTCTGGAGATGTACTGGAAGCTGAACGTTGCCTTCAGGAACTGGAAGTACCCCATTTTCACCATGAACTTGTATATGAAGTAAGGAGAAATCAGAGCCCCTTTAATAATTGTTAGTTAATATCAACAGGTTTGGTTTGGTTTTGATGTGGGGATGCAAATATTATAGCTGGAATTTGAAGCTCTGGTTGCTTGTTCTGATCTTATTTGAATAACTAAATTGTTTCATGTAAAGTTAATGGTTTGTGTATGTGTGTTTGTTGTGCACATTGTGCAACAATTAAGCTGCTGCTGACTCTGGGAAGATCCAAAATTATTTGTTGGGTAAATAGTCGAATTGGGATTGCTATAGATTCCTAAAAAAAGAAGAGCTCAGTTTATTTTCTGCTTTGTTTTGGTGTGTGTTTCCTTTTAGTTTCAGATATCTGGGTATTCACCTGCTTGTGTTAAGTTGCAGAGCTGCCTTTTCAGGGTGGGATTGCTCCATCTAGTACATTTGTAAAAGCTCCAAGATATTTCAGAACCAGACTGTAAGAGAGAAAGATCTTTGCTATATCTGGGAGATGTTCCCATTTGTACTCTTTCATCTGCCAAATTAGGAGATGGTTGTTTACCAGGAAAGCTGAACACCCACAACCTACAATTTTGTTTTCTTTTTTTCAGTACATTGACTTGTTTTAGAAAATTCCTTGCCAATAGAAACCCAGAATCCTTTTAGTTGATGGGGGTTGTGCAGATCTGTAGATTTTCAACTTCCAAGTTCTTTAAAATCACAGATACAAAAAACCATCATAGATACAAAATTAATTTCACAGGATTAATTGCCATCTGGACTGCCAGCAACCATATGGGTATAGTCGTGGATCTCTCAATGCAGAGCCAGAAAGGCAATGATTTTCATTCTGCCTGCTTCTTTCTGGTTTTTCCTGCCTTTTGTCTTTATCCAAGTCACTTTTCATCAGTTTTTCTTTTCAAATACTGATAATGATACACTGCAATTGTGAGTGTGTAACAACTGGACTTGTTTCCCCAGAAAACATGGAATTTCTTTGCACACCTTGTGTGCTTACACAACATATTACCGCTCCTTTCTTTTTAGTTAAGACTTGCATCATTTGTTTTAGGCCATTGTAATGGTTTTGGAGTCAACTGGGGAAAAGACCTTTAAAATGATACTGGATTTGCTGAAATCTCTCTGGAAGTCTTCTGTCATCACTGTGGACCAAATGAAAAGGGTAAGTGTAGCATTTAGAGAAGTTTGGGTAAGGTCTTCCTTCCCAGATTTTGTATAGCTTTTACCTTCCTTAAAGCACTGTTTTGTAGTCTGTGGTTGACTGCTGCTTTTTAAATTCTCCATGCTCGTTCTATATCCTACACAAATAATCTGTCACTGATACATGTACATTAGTTGTCCTGGGCTGGAAGATTCCAAGCAGTGGACAATGCTGCAGTTCAGCTTCATCTTTCTTAATACAATTTTTCTTTTTATCCAGTTCTTCATAATTACAGTAGTACAGTAAGGACCCACTTAATTACAAATGTCAACTAGAACAGTCTATAGAAGCTAGTATTTAACACAGTTGGAATTATCTGTGCTTCTAGGTATGAATACAGGACAGCTGTCCTGTCCCAGAGCAAAGCAGGTACCACACAGGTTTGTGTCAGAATGCACCCAGCCACACTGCTGGGGGAAGTGACAAAATCAGCTCTGGTTTTCACCAGTGTTTCCCTCCCTGCATGAACTGTGGTGGTAGAGATCTGTGGCTACGTTTTCTTTATTTACACAGAAGAAAGATGAACTTTTTCCTTGTTACTACTCATGTTGCAGTGGCCAGGCCAGGCTAACACACCCATTCTGCACTGTCTGGATTTGTGACTAGTAAAGAAGTTGTAAGTTCAGCTGATGCTTTTATGTACGTAGGTGGTTGTGCAGTATCATGGTATTCCACTGACTTGCAACTGTTCTGCTTTAGAAACTGTCCATGGAACTGTACTGAAAAATCCTGAGTGCCAAAGGGTATTTAAAAACATTTGTAATCAAATCCTAGAATAACCAGATGATTATTTGAATTCTTACATTGCAGGGCTATGAACGAGTTTACTGTGAAATCCCAGATATCAACCTGGATGTGCCACACTCCTATTCTGTGCTTGAGCGGTTTGTGGAGGAATGCTTTCAGGCTGGAATAATCCCCAAACCACTGAGAGACCTCTGTCCTTCAAGGTACTTGTTTTACTGTAGATGGGTGAAGGCACTGCTTTTTTGTCCACACTGTTACGTAACAGAAAGCAGGATCTTATGACCAAAATATTACAGATTGGGACTGGAAACTATGGAGGACAGAGACACAGAGGGCTGGACTAGTAAAAGGTTTATTTAAGGGGTTATGGTTATCCTGTTACGGGATAAATAGCTGAGGAAAATAAGCCTCCAGTGAGTCTGTTGCAGGCCTGTGTGCTCTTCATCCAGAGGATGAAGGCCTGCCTTCTCTTCTCTTCTGCTGAGTAGAGATCAGGGCAGTACCGAGATGGAAGATTGAGGTGTCACAACGATCCAGTCCATGTCAGTGACAGTGAAAACCTGTGAGCTACAGAGGTGGGGGAAGAAAAATAATTAAAAATTGCTTAAAAAAAATGGTTTAAGCTCACCAAACAGCATGAACAGTTTTAAGACAAGACCATCAATTCTCATGTTTGTGTTAAAAGGAACAGAAGACTTAATTTGAATAAGCTGTACACACCTGATCCCTTCCTATCTCTCCTGTGGTTTGTACAGTGCTTCTGGTTTGTTGTTTACTGTTCTGTAGCATAAATAACACTGTTTGAAGTGTACCTGATGAGTATTCTGTTCCCTCCTTACTGGTCACATAACATTACTGAGTTTCATTTCATGCAGGGGATACATGCAAATTTTAAACCACGATGTTAAAACTATTATTCACAATTTCACGCATCAAGAATACTGTTCATTAGATCTTTTCCCACTTGGGTGTTTTGTTGGGCTTGTTAAACCATCCTGACAGTTAGAGATAACTTCAGATTTTGAAATGTTAGTGTCTTTACCCAAACCAGGCTCCATTTGTGGACTTCAGACTGAATACTGAGTTTGTGTGTATCTTGGTAGCAAATGTTTTGCAGGTGTTTGAGGTATGAAAGGGTTGAAACTCAGCACTGCAACAATAGCTTCATTGTATTTCAGTTACCAGTAATACTGGGGAGCATTTCTTGCTTATGTACTTCATTTTGGGTAGAAACTCACCATTCCCAGGCTCTCAAACTAGCATCTTTTGCAATAGTGATGAACATTCAAAGGTGAGCAAAGTAGAAAGCACTTAACAACAGAGATTACAAGCTTCTTGCAAATAAACCTGGCTGCAAGATTCAGATGGATTTTAAGGAATTTATCAGTGATTAGGAACATCACCTGATGTTGCTGGATGAGCACATCTTGTATTTGATGACTTTCATCAGGGACTGTAGCGATAGCACAAGGGGTGAACGGTTCAAACTAAAATAGGGGAAGTTCAGGTTGGATATAAGGAAGAAGTTCTTCACAGTGAGGGTGGTGAGGCACTGGAATGGGTTGCCCAAGGAAGTTGTGAATGCTCCATCCCTGGCAGTGTTCAAGGCCAGGCTGGACAGAGCCTTGGGTGACATGGTTTAGAGTGAGGTGTCCCTGCCCATGGCAGGGGATTGTAAAAAGATGGTCTTAAGGTCCTTTCCAACCCAAACCATTCTATGTTTCTACGACCAAGAGAAGATTCTTAGTGACAGATAAGAACAAAGGAGCAATGCTACTGTGAACTAAAAACATACTTTCTCCTTTCTCGCAGGGGCAGAAAGCGTTTTGTGAGCGAAGGAGATGGAGGTCGTTTTAAGCTGGAGAGCTACTGAATGTGAGAACCAGCTCCTGAAGCCTTAAATGTTGAAAGGGAAATAGGTATCTAACTATATATATATATACAAACACGCATGCTTTTTGGGTGTGTGTATGTATATATGTATACACATATATAACGTACCAAATTTAAGAGTTGCTTAGCACAGTTCATATTTTTTTAAAAGCACATGTTTTGGGTACAATCTTTTTTTTTTTTTTTTTTTTTTCTTTTCTCAATAGTTTTATAAATTTCAGAAAGAAAAACACTTCTTTCTTTGGGCATCTGGTAGAACAACTGGCCACTGCTGTGGTGGTGCCTTCAAATAAGCTATCGTTTCAAGTGCCATATGTGTATGACCTGATCATTCCACATCTGCACCCATGTCTGACTGCCGCTCTTTCTTTCAAGGACAGTGTTGTCATCATAAACCCACCGTTTATACAAAGCTTTATAGAAGGGTCAAGTTAAGCTGCTGTGATCCCATTTCCATTGCTGCTGAAGAAATACTGTGCTTTGGGAGGATAAAAATAGCTGTTTCTTTGTTTTAAAGAGCCCAAGAAAACGGAGTTGGGTCATAAGATTAATTCATCTGTTCCAGGGGAGAACACTGGTTGGTTTTAGCCCCTGTGTACCAAACTTGTCTTTTCTTTTTTTTTTCTATGTAACTGGAAAAGTGAAAAGTTCTGGTAAAACATATTAAAAATATTTTTTTGTGATGCTCTTTTTCCTGCCTCCTTTTATTTTCAAACCAGAACAAATATAACTGTGTAAATTCTGAAGTGTGTGCAAGTGGGCTGTATGTCTAACCCTGCCCTTTTGTATTATTATCTGCAGAAGAGCACCGACTAACTCAACTCATGGTGAGTAGTTAAGAAGTATGTTTTTGAGAGCAAATGGGTAGGAGCAGCCAGGCTGGTGCAGCAGAGATGCTCTGGGGTGTCTGTATTGCCAACTGCCCTCTGCCCAGCCCCTGCTCAAGAACAAGACCGAGCCAAGGAAGCCTTCACATCGACACAGCTCCCTTATGTGTTTCACTTTGGTGCCACCACTCCGGGTGCTCGGCAACACCGGGAACTGCCGTGGCGGGGCCGGCGAGACCAGCCCCCTAAACCGTTACCGGAGCCGTGCGGTCGTGTAACGGGCCTCCCTCCCCACG